ACCCAGACAGACCCCCCTAACGCTTCTCCATGGGGACTCTCCTGGCCAGATGGGAGGACAATCCTGCTACCTGGAAGGAGCAGGAGAGAAGAATGGCAGTGGAGAAAACATCCAGGGTACCCAAAGGCCCAGCATCCAAGCTCCACAGTCCACCTGCTGGGATCAGGCTCTAGGTCAAGGCTGAAGAAGGCCCCCTATAGCCTGCCCTCAGGCAGCTCACAGTCTAGATGGGTCCACCCACAAATGAATAGATAATGATCTCATGTGGTGCTAAAACAGAGGGGAATTCAGAATATGGGAGGAACCTCAACATGAGGGCCATGAGTCCAGCCCACAGTTTCCTGAAGGAGATTTACGCTTGTCTCCTTTTTGAGATAAGAGTGATGAAAAGGCATGAGAAAAAGTTACAGGGTTTTTTTACATTATTAGTGTCATTTCTACCTTAACCATACTCATGTCGTTTTGATCCAACTCACACCCACGTTAATGCAGTAAAGTATTACGTTGAACAGCACCAATCTTCCAGGTTCGAATCCTGACACTGCTCTTATTGGCTGCGTGACCCCGGGCTCTGCCTCAGTTTCCTCGTGGATAATAATGGTACCTCTTGTGGTTGTGAGGACTAAATGACTTAATACATGAATGGTGCTGAGAGCACTGTCTGGCACACAGTAACTACTCAGTAAATATCAGTTGCTGCTATTATTGTCATTAATAGGATGTTTTTGCACTTTATGCATTTCAGTGTATCTTCAAAAAATCTTTCATTTGGTGTAGTAGTCTGTGAAAGGTGGGAAGACTTACCATAAAGGGATGGGGTCAGAGAGGGGAATGGATAACCCTAACTATCACAACTAGCTAGCGTGGTTCTGATGCCAGAACTTCTGACCACCTAGGTTATTTCCAATGTGTCATGACCCTTTATAATGTTGTTTTGAAACCCTGAACTTTCAGAAGAAACTTCCTTTAAAAGCTTTTTTAATGACTCCAGGGCTCCTTAAGCATAAATGAAGAAGGAAACTGAGCTGGGAAAATGTCTCTAGCAACATTCCCCAGATCCCAGGGCCCCCCACCTAGGGTTAACTTCTGGATACTTGGAATCCAAACCAAATCCCCCTCTGAGAGTGATAAAAATCCCTCCGCACCCGGAATGGTCACTGCAGCCCAAGGACCAGGAGCCTTATTTGGGGAAAACACAGGCTCTCTCTGCCCCAACTCCTGCCACTAGGGCGGCGCTCACCAGCTCCTGTCCGCACAGCAGCTGGCGGGGCGCAGGCCTGTGTTGGCAGGCAGGACTCTCGCCAGGGCCAGGCAGCTCAGGGCTGTCACAACAGAAAGGCAGCAAGAACAAAAGGGTGGAATGTCAGGGACCCAGAACAAGGGAAAGGTGATAAGCAAGCAGGCGCCTTCTTTCCAAACTGCACGCGCCTTCTTTCCCCCACCCCGCGGTCTCTCTCCTCCCCAGGAAGTAAGCACCCCCCACTTATCTGACAGAAGTGACCAGGGCGAAGGGCAGCAAGCACTTGAGCATGAATAAAGGCGAGAAATCATAACGTGATTGGCCACGAGGACATTAAAATCTGGACCACATTTGCCTGGGTATCTTCCCACAAAAGGAGACACAGCAGAGCCCCGCAGTGAGGCCTTCTGTGTGGCGAGACACCTGCCGGAAGGGCGACATTGCCCAGCTTCCGGCTGGGACTTGGGAGCTGGAAACACTTAGGAAATTCCCTTGAGACAGGGCGGTCCGGCGCCAAGTGCTCAGGACTGGGGCTCGGGAGCGCGAGACTCAAATCCTGGGTCCGCCATGAATGGACAGTGCTCCGAGTCTCGGTCTTCCACCATTTCTGTGGAACTAATGGTGCTGGTCACCTTCGTGCTCCCTTAAACTACTGCCAGAGCAGAGGAAAGGAGAGCGTCTGGAAGGTTCTGAACACTCAGTGGCACCACAGCGTGGCTTACCTCGCTCTGCTGTGCCCTCCACGCTTTCCCCCGGGGCGCTGCACTCCTCCGCTGCCTCTAGCCAGAAAGAAAAGAAACATGGCCGGTGAGGCACCTGAAGATAACCAGGGGACCCCGTGTCCTTGGTGACCCCTGCCTGACTTTTGCTTCTCCTGCGCTCCCATGCTTGCCCCACTCCTGGCGGGCCTTCCACCCTCCCCCTGCCCCTTCAGCTGGTGTCCCAAGCCGTCTGTTACACTCTCCAAGTGATGGCATCCGGCCCTTGGGTGCTGTGGACTGCTGTCCCTCCAGCCAGCACATGAAGGGACTGGAGCTGTCTGGGCAATGGGGAAGCCATCACTGGAAAAAGGACCAGCTGGGAACAGTCAGAGGCGCTTCCTCCAGACCCCTGGAATGATCCCCAGGTGGCACATATTCCTGCATCCTGAGAACACTGGGCCACAGGAGGCAGAACTAGAAAAGCAGGCCAAACTCTGCTATAGAATGTCATTTGCCAAAACTCGGTGAGCAGCTAGAATGACCCCCATTTTCAAGTGGAAAAACAAACTCAGAGAGGTTCAGTAATATGCCCAAGGTCATGGCGCTCGTAACTGGTAGGATTTGAACACTGCTCTTCAATCAGTCTAGTGCACTTTCTTCCTCCCCCCAGGGTATGAAAGATGTTACAAAGTTGATTCTAAAGTGAAAATGCTCCTACAGACATTTTTTCTTAAGATAGTGTGCAACTGAGCCTATTTCATGTCGACTAAAAGTATTTTCTCTCAGTTTTGTAGTTTTTATGCTGCCTGAACATAGATAAGTAAAAATCAATTATTCCTTTTATTATCCCAAAGTCAAAAATAAGTGGGATGGATAAAAGGCCCCCCAGAATGTCATGACACAGAGCGAAGCTTCCCTGCCTAAAGTACAGCCCAACTGGGGAGGGCACAGGGAGGGTGGTGTGGCGCCAATTCAATGAACGTTAATTTGCACACACACACTCTTACACTTCTGTATACACTCACAAAATTAAAGTTTCGCCTATGTGTTAATTTTCACATATTCATGTCAACTGAAATATATCTAAGGGAAACCCCGCCATTCATATAACATGCTGAGCCTCTCAGGGAAAGGAACTTGGAAAAGCAGAGCAAAGAAAGAAGCATTTTTTGAGCACCTACTAAGCCCCTGGGCTCTGTCACATAGTGTCACCGGAGCTCCATCTTCATGAAACGCACAACCACATGTGAGGCAGGCGTCATAATCCCTGTTTACAGAAGAGGAAAGTGAGGCTCAAAAGAAAAGGCGCATCGCCAGCCTACGCCACCCACTACAAAGTGACAGAGTCCTGAGTCAGACTGAGATCTGTCTTGCCCCAGAGGCCACAGATTTTGGAGTGGGGAGAGGACTAAGGATAAACCTCACAATCCAATCCTGATCCCTCTGATAGAGCAATCCCCATCTCTGGCTCTGATCTACTCTCAGTAGCTGAAGAACAATTGCTCAATGACAAAATAATAAAAATCTCAAAGAGAATTACGTCAACCTCAATCACTAAGCAGGTCCTAAAAAAGACAAATGAATACCCCTCCCTCCTTTTGTGAAGCATCCTCTCTCTTTTAGCACAATCACAGGGAAAATCCCTGTGTTATTAGCTTGGCTTTTATTTGCCAAAAGACAGCACAGGTGAGTTCCAAAAGAAGAACAATTCACAAAAGCCAAAATGACAATGAATGTGGGAGAGGGAGAGTGAAGGGGGCACAATAGCTAAGTCGTGGTAAAATTACTTTGGGGTGGCTGTGGAAACGTTACCATATTATGTTCATTTCTCCAACATGCATAAAATAGATGCCCCTGAGTTACAGAACATTCCTAAATTCTTCCTGCTTTCTCTTGCAGTGCATCGTTCAATAATTAAAATCTATTATATTCCTAAATCACTTAGTAACACCTCAGCAGACACTGGGGAGAAAAGAGATGGAATTTTGATGGCAGGTCTGCCCGCTAACTTGAGATGAAATCAGCTTAATGCTAATTATTTTTCACATTTGGTTTCTATATTTACCAACCAGCCCAGCTTTCAGAGGTCAGATTTTTTTCTACAAGCGCCTGCTGAGTTAACCCTTCCATCTATCCATGCTCTACCCATCCTGTAAGCCCCATTTCAAACCTCGTCAGCCATTTAAATCCCCTTGCTCCAGCCCAAAGGATCATTTCTTCTCTACCTCTATTTGTACTTTTGCTCACACAATTAGCATTTCCTATGTATATTAAATGTGTTAAATATGTACTATGTGACATGCGCCAGGCAATACGATGAGAAATGAAGGTAACAAGATTGCTAATAATAACTGAATTCACTGAAGGCTTCCAAAGAGCAGGTATTGGTCTAAGTGCTTTTGTGCTTACTAATTTCTTTAGTGCTTATACTCTATCAGCAGTGTTCTACTATTACCCCAATTCTACAGATGAAGTAAACTGCATTACCTAGTAATGCAACAGAGGGAATGGCCTGGGAAAAAAATGGCAAAAAGATATTTTCTGTCCCTTTAACACTTCTCCCACTCTTTTCAGAAACTGAAGCCTGAATCCCTGCCTCAAGCAGGTGGTCAGGAGGGGCCTGGGGAATGTCTTTTGTTCTTTGTGTTACAGGAGATGGCTTAGCCATCCCAGGCCCTGGCGCTGGCCTCCCAGGTAGGCAGAGGTCACAGGCTTTGTCTTTGGCAGAGATGAGAGGATTAGAATAGTTAACCACAGTAGCCTAGAACTGAGGGCCCTCCCTTTAAAAGCTCTGTACTTCTGCTATGTTCAGGAGATTTGGATTTTGAGATGGGAGTCTACCATTTTTCCTCCTTTGCCAGCAAAGTAATAAACTTCTCTTTCCTTCTCCTCAAACCACTTGTTCTCATTCTTCTGATGCAGCCTGGAGGACAAGTGCCGAGCTTTCAGTAACAGTGACTTGCCTAGGGATACTCAGATCATAAGTGATGGAACCAGAATTTGAACCCAAACAGCCTGGCTCTAGAGCCCTGGCAATTAAAAATCACTTTTTTTTTTCTCTTTAAATAGATACTTTATTACATCCACAGGCAATAAAATCCCAGAGCTACTGTTAGGCATGTAAATACAGAACCTGCTAAATATTTAATACTATCAAGCTTGTGCGACTTGAGCATGGTTTTGAGGCCTGCAACCTCAGGTTCTATCTTCCTGTCTGTTTGGGTGAGGGCCTGATCTTGCTGGGCATGCAACGCCATTATTTCTGTTCTTAATTCCAGCAGCTTCCTTTCGTTCATTGAATACAATTCTTTTACTCTGCTCTTTTCTAGATTGAAGTCTAACTTGGTATCTGTTCGGACTTTGATCACTTCATCCATTACTTGTTGTTTTAACTGATGTAGTTCGAGTTTTATTTTCTCATTTTCTGCTCTGAGGGCTGAAAATTCACTCTTCTCCAAAATAATCATATCCTTTTTCACATTAGCAATCTGAGACATTATTTGATGAAGAGTGATCTCCTGCTGCATCTTGGTGACCATGTCTTTGTAGATGACATCCATGTTGGCCTCCATGATCTTGACCAATGCAGATACAATGATTTCTGCTTGTTGAGTAGTAAACCCATTGTCTACAAGTAAGCACACTAAGGCATGGGTGTCTCTATTGAAGATAGAGAGTATAGAGAACTATTTGGAGATATGTTGCTGCACATAGATGCAGAGCAATGAGGTGGTAGCTGGTGGATAAAAGACATCAAGAGACATTTGTTTAAGGTGGCAGCAATGACAGCATGTTTGCATGCTGATGGGAATGATGCAATCCAGAGAAAAAATGAATGATTCAGGGGAAAAAAGGGAGAATTGCTGGAGGGAGGTTCTTGACTAGGGATCCCTAGACAACAGACAGCAGGGATTGGGATCTAGTGCAAAAACAGACGTCCCACAAATGGCACCATAATCCACCTAGTAACATGGGCAAAACACCTAAGAATCATCCTCATCACTACTTACCCACCCTCTGCCACTCACAAGACACAAACACAAACACACATACCTGTACCCCTAATCCATCAATAATCTCCATTGGCTATACTGCCAAAATCTGCCAATTTATGACTGCCTCCATTACTATTGTCCTTACCCAAGTCAAATTTATTTCTCTATGAACTACTGTAATAGTCACCCACTCTTTCTTTTTTTATAAGGAAACTTTTTATTGAAGTATAACACATGTATATAGAAAAGCCCTCAAATCGTAAGTATACACCTTGATCAATTTTCACAGACTGAACATGCCCGTATCAAACATAGCCACCAAGAAGTAGGACATTACCAGCACTCCAGGAACCCCTCTCATATGCCCTCCCAGCCATGCACCACCATCCCAAAAGTAATGCTATCTGGATGTCCATCACTATGGGTTAGTTTCATCTACTTTGAAATTATGTAAATGGACTCATAAAGTGTAGCTTCTTCTGTATCTGGCTTCTTTCACTCAAAATTATTTTTGTGAGATTCATCCATGCCCTTTGCACACAGAAATAGTTCACTCCTTCCCTTTGCAATATCATGTTCCTTTAGATGAATATATCACCATATATTTATCCATTGTGCTGTTAATACTTAGATTGTTTCCCATTTGGGGCTATTATGAATAGGCTGCTATGAACATTTTCCTTCACATCTATTGGTGCACAAACATAGGCATTTTTCTTGACCAAAAACTCAAGAGTGGAATTGCTGGTTCATAAGTGATATATATTAAACACATTTATCTTTAGTAGATACTGCCAAACAGTTTTCCAAAATGGTTATATCATTTTCCACTCTTACTATAGTATAGAAGATTTCCATTGCTCACATCCTTGCCAACACTTGTGCTCTTTTTTCATTTTAGCCATTCTAGTGATACGCAATGCTATCTCACTGAGGTTCTAATTAAATAGCCTTTCACCATTCCTGCTTCCACTTTTGCCTCCTCCCAATCCACTCTCCAGATAAAAACTAGACAAATCTTTTTCAAACAAAAATCACAGTACACCACTCCCCTTCTTAAAACATTTCAATGGCTCCCACCTGCACTCAGAATAACCCCAAACTCATACACCACAGCCTCCAAGCCCCAGATGATCTGGCTTCTACCTACCTCCCCAATTTCATCTTACCAGCCACACTCCACACCATTCACTGTGCTCCAGACAAACCAGCCTCCTTTCTCTCCCGTGAACATTCCAGGCTCTCTCCCACTTCAGGGTCTTTGCATATGTTGTTCTCTCTTCCCAGAACACAACCCCACCCCACCCCCAGTGTAACTACTATTAATCCTTCAGGTCTCAATTTACAAGTCACCCCATCAGGTGAGAACTCCTATTTACCTGACCGCTGTATCAAGAGTGTATTTCTTCTGCAGTGCTTACACAATCTACACACAGCTTGTTTCTTTATTTGCTTGTTCATGTTCTATCTTCTCCGCTGATTATGAGGTCCATGAGGGCAAAGGCAGGGCACTCTTGTCACTACTGCTTGCCCAGTATGAGACCCACAATAGGAGCTCAATAAATGTTTATCAGCTGATTGATTTAATAAATAGTGTCCCTGTCGGGGGCAGGGTATCTAAGCTAAACAGCCCTTTCACACTGAGGAAAATGGATAAAGCAAAATGTTCTGAGATGCTCAGAGGAGAAGCATCATTTAAACATCAACATAGCCACTGTTTACAGAGCACCTGCTGTGGCTGGGATAAACCCTGCATACTCTGCAACAGAGACCACTGTAGTGCGCCGTCTCAATCGCCGATGAGATTGGGTGACCTTGAGGTGCCTTGGACTCCTGTTCCCTGCTTTGGGCCACTTTATGTAGGTTTACCCTTTCCTCAGAGATGTAGCAGCATTTACTTAGATTTGTCCAGTTTTTTAATTTAGAAAGTTTGGGGGGGGTGGTTCCTGATAACAATGCTAATAAATTCACTTAGAAAATTTGAAAAATGAATAAGAGAAAAATAATAGCCATCCATACTTCTACTACCCAGGAAAAAGTCAGCATATCTCCTTCCAGTCTTTGTTATTTCTCTGCCCCTTTATTGTTAGGGTTGGTCAAAAGGCTCAGGAGAGGACTTAGCTGGAACTATGGTATACAGTAGGGCATTTGGGGGATTCTAATTATTCAAGCCTGCAATGTCCTTTATGCCCCAAACAGGCGGAGATGAATTGGGGATGGATTACGAAAAGCTTCAGGTTTGGGGCCTGTTTCTAGATCATTTGCTGAAATCACCTTCCACACCTTGCCTTTGTCTCCCCATCAGCAATGCCAAGGAATCTGGCAGTATCACAGCAATTCAGTAAATACTGTCCCAAAAGCAAGAGTGATTATAGCATCTCCCAGAACACCAAATAGATTCAGAAGACATATTTGGCCACCTTTCCGAGAAAATGGGTGGTTCTGTTTGGAAAACCAGCTATCAGGTTATGAGACCCCTACTTTGTGCTAGGCACAGTACTGGTCACCTTACATAACTTACTTAGTCCCCACAGTGACTCTAGAGGTAGGTATTATCTCCGTTTTTCAGATGAGGATGTTGAGGCTCAGTGAGGTACATGACCTGTGCAAGACCCCAGTTAGTAAGTGGCTGATTCAAGCCTGTACCCAGATCTCTCTGGCTCCAAGGCCTTGCTCAGCTACACTGATAGATTTTTGCCTCGGCTGCAAACTGCTAGAATCAAAGGAGGAAGAGCAGAGGGAGATCTTTCTTGTGCTGGATTTAAAATTGCTCATGAACCCACAGAGCTAAGCATAGACCATCAAAAGGGGACTGGGGAAAACATCAAATTAATTGAGATCATCACAGGGTTAGATTACTACTTAATAGAGGAGCTAAACCCTGGGGGCATGGCCTCAATACAACCAGAATTTCAGTCTCAATACAACCAGAACTTCAAACCGCAGTCTTCTCTCTTTCATGCAATGCACTTGAATGTCTAACTTGCTGCCACCCACTTCGATGAATCTGTGTTAAATAACCCACACTTGGGTGAGGAGCTGGGCCACTGAGAGATGGCTCTGGAGTCCCAGGCCACGATATGCTCCACTCTGGACTTCAGTTCCAGAGAGAGACAGGTCAGAGGCAGGGCATGGGAAAAGGATCGCCCCCCAGGCTTGTTTTGTCCCCAGAACAGAAGTGCACCGGGGTCCCTAGAAACGCTATGGGTGGGAAGGAAGTTAAGGCCAAAGAGCTGGGAATCGCATCTACTAAATGAGGGGAATTTTCCAACTAAAACAATCAGGCAAGGATATCAGCGCCCTGGGAAGATTGTCCTTCAGTTCACACACATTTGCCTCCTCCTCCCTCCCCCTCTGCCTCCTTGGGGCTGACCCAGCAGCTAAGGCACCCTTAACCAACAGTGTCCTTCAGCCCTGGGTGAGGGACAGGACCTTTACCTCTGCTCTGAGCCAACTGCCCCTCGGAGCCCAACAAGATCCTCAACTCACTTACCTGAAGTCAGCCAGCCTGTATTTGACAGGAAACTGCTTGGAACACTGAAGTTAGGTGTGTCACTTTCCTGTCAAACACAGGATGGGTGGCCTCAGGGGTAATGAGAAGCTCCATCCCCAGAAGTACCCAGAAGAGGCTGATGGTCACTTGAAGGGGACACTGGGGGCATGATTCAGAACTGACATGTGGCATTATTGATTCGGTCACTCATGCTGCAATCCAACAATGAGTTATTATCAAGTTGCACCAGCGTATAAAGCAGGCCCGACCCCTGCCCTCGGGAAGTTTACAGGGCAGCAGGGAACACAGACATGACAAGAAAGGCAGACAGGCACGTGTAATTACACATTGTGATACGTGCTGCAAAGGAAAGAATAGGGGTCATGAGGAATAACAACAGGGAGAATAAAGAGCTTTGAGTAGGGGATCAAATTGTGTTTTCAAACAGTTCACCGCGGTTGCCGCCAGGAGACTGGGCTGGGAGAGAGGGGCAAGTGTGGAGGTGGAGGCCAGTTAGGAGGCTGCTCATCAGCCCAGGGAGAGAGCATGTGGCCTGAGCCACGGTGCGGATGGTAGCAGTGGGCGTGGATGTTCTAGACATGAAATCAACAGGACTTGGCCACTAGAGAGGTGAGGGTTTGGGAGGCAAGAAAAAGGGAAATAATTCCCAAGGTGGGGACTAGACCTCATCACCTGAAATTCTGAGTTAATAGTGTTGTATAGATCACAAGACCGTGAGGCTTCAAAACCCAAACTAACAGGCCAAGAGGTGTGGCCAGTCTTTACCCCTTGGTGAGGCACAAGGGTGCAAGGGGCGCCGCAGTACTGCCACCGGCAAGGTCTTTCCCACACTGGGGCCGGAGGAAGAAGTGAGGTCTTACTCTGGCACCCCAACATCCCTTCCTATTCTTTCCCCCACTGGACCACACCTTTCAGGATCCTGGGCTCTCATGCTGCCTCCAGCCACTACCTTGCCTGGGAGATATATATGTATATATATAAATCATAATCAAAGTAAACCAAGATTACAGCCAGAGAATCAGTGCAAAATATCAAGTTAAAAGAGGGAGGATGAAAAAAGAATAATAAATAGCAAAATCACTGTATTTTCTACATTGTATAGAAATTAGTATGTGTGTGTATGTGTGGAGAGAGAGATAGAAA